TCCTCTGGGCTACTGGTCCTTCAGTAGACCATTCCTTGATTATCTCAGCAGGGACTGCTAAACAGACCATCTTTTCTCTGTTTTGCCCTGGTCTACTGGCTGCACAGCCTGCCAGCATCTGGCAATTTGCCCCAGAGGGCTGGTGTAGCATTATCTTTTCTTATGTACATCTGGAAACAGGGATATGCTCTTTAAATTTGGCACCTTGGGACAAAACCCTGGTTAAAGCCTTGGTTATACATCAACACTACTAGGACCATTGCATTACACAGTCCTGATTGGATTTAGTCTGTGGCTCTGTTTTGTTTTGTTTTGAATAACATGGTAATCCGGATATTATATATATCCAGTTTATATATACAGATATATTATATATAATACTGTATATCTGTATATATAATCTGGCATATCTGGTCCCTTTGTGATGCAATCAACTGATCCATCAACAGTGGTTTAGAAACAGAGCAATGGCTGTAGTGGAAACATCCCTTCTGACGTCTGATACCTGAGAACTTTTTCATAATTTAGTGCTTGCCCTGAATGAGCCAATTTAAAAGGAAGCAGTTAGCAAGCAGAGAAGTGACTAGATGTTCTTGCGTTGCATCAGGCCAGAATAGTTCTTGGAATATATCACCTATTACCTATTTTTATCTAGGATCATCATAAAATAATCTTATGAGTTTCCCACTCCCATCCTCCAATCTATTAGGTGTTCTATCTGTCCCATAAAGAATTATTTCTCCTGCTCTGGAATTTTCCATACTTTTCTTAGTGGTTCTTCCAGCACTTGCTCCAGGGTTAAGCAGCTCCTCCATGAACTGCCTTCTGATGGGCCTCTTCCTATATCACTGTGGGTTTGCTTAATGGCACTATTATTTTAATTTTCCATATTTCATGATGGCACTCTGAAACATTTGAGAAATTAATCGGAGCAGCAACCAAAATAGATCCCAAGCCTCAAGAAGAAAAGTTACCTTTTGGACAATAACTTCCAGAATTTGCCAGGTGACATCCTCAGAATTCCCAGGGAATTCTGGGAATTATAGTCTGAAAAAGAAACTTTTCCAAATATCTTGACTTAGGCAGAGATAATCTAGGAATGTTCAGTCCATGTGAGTGGTGGCTCATGACTAGGGTAGGGTGTGCATTTCACCTGACATTTCTCCCATCCCAGTCCATGACCACCACCACCCGCCTCTGTGGAGATACTCACAAGGCCTAGAGAATTCCACCTTGCCAGCTCACTCTCCATGGCACTCTGAAACATTTGAGAAATTAATCGGAGCAGCAACCAAAATAGATCCCAAGCCTCAAGAAGAAAAGTTACCTTTTGGACAATAACTTCCAGAATTTGCCAGGTGACATCCTCAGAATTCCCAGGGAATTCTGGGAATTATAGTCTGAAAAAGAAACTTTTCCAAATATCTTGACTTAGGCAGAGATAATCTAGGAATGTTCAGTCCATGTGAGTGGTGGCTCATGACTAGGGTAGGGTGTGCATTTCACCTGACATTTCTCCCATCCCAGTCCATGACCACCACCACCCGCCTCTGTGGAGATACTCACAAGGCCTAGAGAATTCCACCTTGCCAGCTCACTCTCCATCATCTCTTTCTCTAGGTGGACCACTGCAGCAAAGATGCTCTTGAATGTGAGCAAGTACACATGAGCATGAAGCCTGGAAAATGAGGGCTCCTGCTTGTATGTATAGAGCTACCCTGTCAATGGAGGGGGATGACTAGGCATACCTCTCTAAGCATTGTGAGTACATCTATAGAAGTAATGACCAAATACTCCTAGCTCATATACATAGTGGCCCAAATTCTGTTGCTCCATTACGCCTACAGAAGGCAAGCAGCATTAACTTGCTGTATGTCCCCAGTGACAATTAAAGAAACCCCACATGGATTTTCAGGGATGTTCACATACACTGCCTTCACTCAAACTGGAAAATCCAGGCAAGGATTCATGAATTTGCCAGGAAAAAGCCGCTGGAACTTTTGCCATTTCCCTTCCACAGTCTTAACTAAGCAATAGGATTTGGGCTGCCATCTTGGATTTCCAGGAGGGCTGTAGCCCATTTCTTTGGATGCATCTGAGTTGTCTGAATAAAGTAATTTTTCGTACCTCCAATACCAAGCATCTAGAAGACGGGGAGCTAGGAACATTCAGTTGCATCTGAAGACACGGATTACAGAGCATGGGTGCTTACGCAAGACAAACTTATAGTTTTCTATGTGCCCCAAAACATCTTGTTCTAACATGGCACAAAATCATCAGTACCCCTTTCCAACTTACTTGAGAAATTCATATGAGTGCAGAGAAGAAGAACAGTTGTCCTTCTCTTAGTGTTATACCCAGAAGCAGCCTCTGGCTAAGAGGATGCTCTCTCTCTCTCTCTCTTGCAAAGCAAGGGCCTTATAAAAAATACAGGAAGACATTGTACTTAGAGGTCAGCATAGGGGGAGGCTGTCTCCTCTTATAGCCTCCAGGCTTGTGGTGAAGTCAGCATTGCTAACAGCTGCATTGTTTAAAGTGAAATAGCCAGATCGATAGCCATCAATACTGTGCTATAAAACTTGCTTGGATTTCCTTTCCCTGGGAAAATCTGAGAGAGGAATGTGAACTCACATCCTGTGTTGGAAGAACAAGAACGGGCTGCAAAAAAGTCTTGTTCAGGAGAACATTACTGAGGCAGGGGCCCTGCTTAGCAAAAACTTCTAGCCTGCCAGCGAATGCAGCTCCTTCTTCTCTTCCGGTTATTTGTAGCAGCGTGGAAAAAATGATAATAGCTTATGTAAACAACTAATAAAGAGAGACAGAATAAAGGGGCAGGGGGATGATTGGAGCACATGGAGTGTGTGATTCTCCTCACCCAACTAGGAATGGAGGAATAGGCTAGATTTAGCCTGGATCTTCCAGTTGCTGCCTCCATCATTCTGCATGAGTAACATTTCATGAACTGACCAGCTGAAATCCTATACATACATACTTGTAGGAGTATGTTCTATTGAATGAGTTGGACTCATCTCTGAATAGAGATGTATTTGATTACTCTGCTTGAAAGCCCAACCCAAGCTGTTGGGCAATCCCCTGTCTGCTCTTACACACCAGTCTCTCATTTCAATGGGCAGGGCCTGCTTGCTTGCCTGTCTGCCTGTCTGTTTGAGGCCACTCATTCAGAGGCTAAATGATAAAAAGACTAGTCATTAATTCTCTCAACTTTTAAAACTTTAATCCCTTTCAACTTGATTCATTAACTCTAATTGTGCCAATGTACTAGAGATGGAAGCCATTTGTCCCATGTGAATCATCACACAAACTCTACACTCTGTCTAATTTTTGTTATTTTCTATGCCTCAGCTTAAAATTCCTTGACTGTTTGCCAGTCAAGGAATATGGTGATATGTCTTTACTGCATTAAAACCACTATGTTCTGAGGGTGGATTCTTATCCTAGAAAGATGATTGGGGTGAAGAGAAGGAATTTAGCTCACCTTGTCAGATTTTTCCATAGCAAGAGGCCTCTATGTGCCGTGGCTTCATGAAATAAAGGAAAGGGCTCCTCTACCTTTATTAGTTGTGTGAAAAAGGAAGTTTCAGGAAATGTAGCTCCCATGACAAACCCTGTCCTCCATTTCATCTGTAACTTCTGTGCCCTTTATGGATCAAAAGTGACACAGAGAGATAGGAAGATTAACTCTAGCCTTGTGAAAGTATTCAAAGAAACAAGGCATACCACAGAATTTGTCACTTCCTCTATGACTGAATTTGACCAAATGTCACCCTCTTCCCTTCAGTGATGATCATCATGAACTGTTAAAAATGCGCTCAAAAGTACTAGGTCATGGAAGCACTAGAACTAATGTCACTGTGCCAATGCTGAATCCTTTAAAATGAAGTTGTTAACTTTAAAATATTATTTATACATCCATAAGAATAATTCATTGTTTAAACTGTTTAAATCATTAGAATTGAAACATGATTTGAAATTATTAAAAATGATCAGAAACGATGTGCCTGATCCAAATTATTCACGTACTCTTCACCCATTCCTCCAAAAGTTAAATTATCCATCTTCTCAGAAAGTAGAAAAGGGCCTTTGTTGTTTAGTCGTTAAGTTGTGTCTTGTCCTTTGTTGTTCAGTCATTGTGACCCAATGGACCAGAGCACGCCAGGCCCTCCTGTCTTACACTGCCTCCCGGAGTTGGGTCAAATTCATGTTGGTAGCTTCGGTGACACTGTCCAACCGTCTCATCCTCTGTTGTCCCCTTCTCCTCTTGCCTTCACACTTTCCCAACATCATGGTCTTTTCCAGGGAGTCTTCTCTTCTCATGAGATGGCCAAAGTACTGGAGCTTCAGGATCTGCCCTTCCAGTGAGCACTCAGGGTTGATATCCTTCAGAATGGATAGGTTTGTTCTCCTTGCAGTCCAGGGGACTCTCAAGAGTCTCCTCCAGCACCACAATTCAAAAGCATCAATTCTTCAGCGGTCAGCCTTCTTTATGGTCCAGCTCTCACTTCCGTACATCACTACTGGAAAAACCATAGTTTTGACTATGCGGACCTTTGTTGGCAAGGTGATGTCTCTGCTTTTTAAGATGCTGTCTAGGTTTCTCATCACTTTTCTCCCAAGAAGCAGGTGTCTTTTAATTTCGTGGCTGCTCTCAATATCTGCAGTGATCATGGAGCCCAAGAAGGTAAAATCTGTCACTGCCTCCATATCTTCGCAGGAGGTGATCGGACCAGAAAATGTCCTACTTATTTCCAAAATAACAAAATAAAAATAATATGAAATTTAAATTATTATCCAAAAAGTAAAATGGTTGGCATTCAGCGGTTAAAATAAAGAATTATAATTTTGTTGTTGACCATTTTGTTGTTGACCATATTAGTTATCACCCAGCTATGGATTTGCAAGTCATAAGAAGCCTTCATGTGCACAATATCCTACAGTTAATAGAAAGTATGATACATTTTATGGTGTTTGTTCACACTTAGGTACCTTCTTGAGCAAGATTTCCCTGGGATGCGGATTGGGCCAGAACCAACAACGGACTCCTTCATTGCTGTGATGCAGGGGGATGTGGAGGGCATCGTTCCTGGAAATGCACTGGTGGTAGATCCCAAAAAGCCTTTCAGGAAACTCAATGCATTCGGCAATGCCTTTTTAAACAGGTCAGTGTGTCTTTCTGAGCACATGCTATGTGTTAAATTCAATGGCGAGGCAAATGTGTACTTCTTTTATTTCTCCGATTTCCCCTCCTGTGATGGGATTTCCTCAGTGGTTTGTGCCCTGGTAATTACAATTGCAAGCATTTATCTTCCAGTGATAATTCACAGAACAAAGCATGTTGAATGCAAGATACGTAGGTGAGGAAACTTACATGCTATGACAAATGCATGTCTTTCATCACTTGAAAGAACAGCACTTCTATAAATGCATTAAGTATAAATTCAAGTTTGACAAACAGTGGTCTGTTTGCTATGGGCTTCAGAGATGTTCCTCTCTACTAGAAGAGAGGGGTATTGCAGGGAAAGCATGAGGGAGACTTTCTGATCCCAGCCTATGGCTAGGACTGGGTGAAGAGAAACACTAGTTCAAGGAGGGGAAATGTGTAGCCCTCCAGATATTTTTGGTCTGCATCTCTTATCATCCTAGCTGGCTAGGTTTGAAGGTGGATGTGGTCCAGCAACATCTAAGGAATGGCACATTATCCACCCCGCCACTCCTTGTGAAGGGACTTGGCTTAGATTCACTGGGTGGAAGCATTATGTCAGGAATGAAATCACCATGAGTTCAGTGGGCAGGGTCCAATTCTCTGTGCCAGCTGCATTTGGACAAACATATAAAATCCATGGAATCAGGAGATGTTGCTGATTGTTTACTGCAGCCTATTAAAGCTGCTGAATTAGATGTTTACTGTTTTCCACGACCACGAGAGATAAACCTGGCATTCCTCAGGTACCAGACCAAGTCAGGCCACAGACAGACCAGGGGAATGCTCCCCACATCTAACGATATTGTCCATATCTCTGTTGTAATGCAGTCACAAGGTATATATACCTGGATGAGCGTCCCAATATGTTTTAACATTACCAATTCATTTTTTTCCATTTGAATCGGTATGGCTGGCTATACTGTGGTGCCAATTTATTTCCTCTTTTCTTTTATGGGCCACTGCAGTCCCTTAACTTTAATCTTAGAAAAAAACATGCTACACATATATGTCAGGTACTTTTTCCTGATGGGTAGATTTTCCTCTGTTGCACTGGTGCTTCTAAAAGCAGTGCATTGCATTCAATGGATCTGGCACCCCCCACCCAGGGCTGTTCTGCTTGCCAAACAGTAGGTTGAGAGATGCAACACCCATCAATGCCTTTAAAGCTTTTGACAGACGTTTACCAACATATTGACACCCCAACCGCTGGAGGAAAAAAAATAATAGAAGGGCAGCTGTGTGGCAGTAATTGTGGCTTCTTTCCCCAGTGAATTTCCTTGGAAAAAGTATGAATAGGATCATACACACATGCCATACCACTAAGGAATTTATCAAAACACCACGGGAACAAAAAAACCTGAAGACTCCCAGCAAGGGGGAATTGAGCCGCAGTTACACTGCTAACTGCTAAAATAAATTGCTAATGGCATTGTGTCGTGTGACTACAAATTTATGCTAGGATTTAACTTGGGCATAAGTAGGGAACGATTCCATTGTGTGAGGAACACCCGGAGAGCATTCCACTAGGTGAAGGAGTCTTTCCAGTCCTTATCACCCTTTGAACCCAAGCTTGGTAATACCCAAGGGATGCATGGATTAGCACTATGGGCAAGCTGCTAACTTAGATTTTAACCTGTCTCCTTCACCTGAGAAGAAACTCTCCTGACTGTGCACTTTGTACTTCGGACACCAACCAGACAAGGTAGACCACCCAAAGACTTTGTACTTCGCACACCAACCAGGCAAGGTAGACCACCCAAAGTAATATAATGAGTGAACATAGCCTATGGTCAAGACACCTTTTTAGACACTCAGATCCCTTCCCCCCCCCCACAAGGATCACACTTGGGTAAAATACAGAAAAGTGTATTAGAATTATAAAGAATATAAAAAATTCAAAAAGGTAGTTGTACGTTCTGAAACAATGCAAAAGCAATGCATATTCAGATAATAAGTGAACCAAATGAAAACATTCTCCAATAAAATAATAAAAAGCTATCTACTTTTGTCTCAAAAGCTAACTGTTGCCTAAGTAATCATAGTAAGATTCTCCTGCATATCTATCTCTATAGCATCTATCCCATCATCATCAGACCGATAGCTAGCTCGACAGCCACTAACTAACTTCTTGCTATTATTTATTTATTTATTTATTTATAGATAGCTAGCTCGACAGCCACTAACTATCCTCTTGCTAGATCTTAAATCCATGTCCCCCCAACATGGTTATCCAATCAGATTCAAGTTCTTGTTGTTCTGAAACCTTTAATGGCATTTACAGGTTACAACAACACAAGCAACTCAGGCAAAAGAGGAAAAGTAAAATTGCACAAATTTCACAAATTAGGACCGAGAAGCAGGGGACGATTTCAGAATTGCAGATAAGAAACCTGCAACAGCAGCAGTCAGGGCATTACATTCATCGCTCATGAAAATGGAAAGAGTTGACTCAAAAGAATTGGAAAAATAAGAGATCCAAGGTTCAAGGAAAAAATTTCGGAGGTGGTGATGAGCAGGGCATTGAAACAGTATATGAGCCAGGGTGTCAGGCGTCTCTAAGCAAAAGAAACAAAGTCTTTTTTCACGAGGGATGTTGAGAAATCGACTGGCATGGGTGGCCGAAGGAAAAATGTTAAAACGGGCTAACATAAAAGCTCTTCTTAGATGTGGATTTACTAGGGAGTGAAAATATTTGGGAGAGAGATCCTGAGATGGAAAAAGTCCAACAGAAAGGGGGGAGCATACAGAGTTAAGGTTATTGCATAGGTGATTGAATTCGGCATGACAGAGCTTGTCCTTGATTGTGGAATAAGC